TCATTAAACTAGTACTATTTCCTTTTCTTTTTTTCTGTTGATTAGTTCATGTTATGGCACATAATTAATTATTTTTTTCAATACCAAAATTGAGAATGTATTGAAGTAGAATATGATCATGGTTTGGTTGGATGTATATAATTAACGAGCCTAATAGGGCCCTCTTTTGATCTGCCAGAGTATGTTAATTGGGAGAGATCTTTGGGATTGGGTCCATGTACCACTTTAACCCCAACACTCACTATTGTGTCAAAACATGAATTTTCCTCTTTACTTTATCGTGTTAATAATGCATCATTAACTTTTTGGATTATGCAAAAAATAAGAAATTTTTTTGTTTAGCTACTCAGCTTTTGTTTCTTGATCCCTCTCTATCCCAAGAACAAATTAAGAGTATAACGATAGTTGAATAAGAAAGATATAAACTCCTCTTACTTGTGGCATGACTTGTTGGACTTCTGGGAAGTGTAGGATTGATCAGTACCTCTTTCAGGTTAGCTTTGGGACTACTGCATGCACCTAATCCAACATTGGTCAACAACTTGTATTGGCCGGCAAGTTTGCGGGTATAAGGTATTTTTAGTGACAGAGAACGATATTGAATCCATGGGTCAAACCGCTTAGAGGATATATCAGCATCAGCAATTATAGTCTTACTGTATGTGGTATCACTTCACGGCCATTATGAAAGCCGCGCGCGGTCCTTTTGGCACAGAATAGATGCATGGCCGGGAAAAATGGAGTGGGTTTAGTTTGCTTTGGCTTCTCCAGCTAGCATTGTATGATCAGCTTCTCTTCTCTATATGCAGTGTTCAAAGGAAGAAGACGAATAAGAAGAGGAACAGAGACAGAGGATCCATCATGTGGAATGGTCATCAACGCCTATCAGTTTGGAATGGGGTCATAAATCATAATATGTTATGTTGAGTTATTTTCGGTGTATATATGGTGGATATTTCGGTGCACTCACTTTTTTGGGTGCACAACTTTAAAAATGGCCATAATACATCAAAATTTTGAGCACTTCTACTGTGCTATATAGCATTGGTTTTTTAATGTACAACTTTAAATTGTACCATAAAATTAAATGTATAAGTTTAGGTTGTAGCATAAAGAAATTTGTACCATTATGTTATGGTACAACTTTACAACTTGAATTTGTATCATAACATAAAGGTACAAGTTCAAGTTGCACCATAATATTTTTTTTTAAAAGTATAGGTATAATATAAAGTTGTATCATAACGTTAAACGTACAATTTCAAGTTGTACAATAAAGGCAAAAACCTATAGCACCAATGCTATATAGCACTGTAGAATTCCTCCAAAATTTCAACTTTAATGGGTAGCATTAGTCTAATATGATGGTATAACATAGAATCACAAATAATCAATCAATTACCCTAACCCTTTAATCTTCAATTTTGAATCCCAACCCAAAACCCCAAATTATAAACCCTAACCCTAAATTTCCAAGCTCTAAATTATTCAATTTAAAGTAAATCTTGGATGCTTTTTGTAAAAATACATATGTTTCTTGTTCATCATACCACAAGTGATGACTGACATAATTTTCACATGAATCGCCTGCTTAGAATGACGATTATGAGCGAGTACATTGAATGCACTAAAAAAGGGAGTGCACCGAATACATAACTATAATCAAGTTAAATAAACGGCTCACTTAGTGTGTTAACACTCTAACTATTATTACTTGTGGAAGTTAGGATATTAACACCCAATTAGTTTGTATAGTGCTAACACTAGTTCAGTTGAATAAATATATTTTGATTTGACAACTCTTTTATTTGCATAGGGTGATCACAATTAATGTATATTTAAATGGATAGCCACATTTGTCATTATTCAAAAATGGGGGACACAAGCGTGTGATGTTGTGCATTGATTCTCGTGCATCACTACAAGTATCATGAAACATAGTAGAAACACATACTAGAAACACAATAATACACACCACAAATATCATAAAACATACGAGCAATTCTACTATGCTATATAGTATTGGTGCTTTAATGTACAATTTAAAATTGTACCATAACATTAAATGTATAAGTTTAGGTTGTACCATAAAGCAATTTGTACCATTATGTTATGGTACAACTTTACAACTTGAAGTTGTACCATCACATAAAGGTACAAGTTCAAGTTGTACCATAAAAGAATTTGTATAAAAAGTATAGGTACAATCTGAAGTTGTACCATAACATAAACGTACAATTTTAAATTGTACCATAAAGACAAAATCCTATAGCACCAATACTATATAGCATTGTAAAATTTCTCAAAACATACAAGTAAACTTATAAAGCATACTAAAATCGTACTACGACACACAATTCATAAAACATACCAAAAACTTGTGGAAGCATCTTCATGAATCATGATGTTCATTCTCATACTGATGCTTCCACACATGAAGATATGCTTCCACACATTAGTCCAAGTTTAATTATGAGGTTTCTTATATGCTTTAAAAAACTTGTGGTATGCTTTAATAAACTTGTGATATGTTTTATGAGGTTTCTGCCTTTCTGGTATGTTTTATGAGGTTTTAGATCTGCTTTAAGAAACTTGTGGTATGCTTTATGTGTTTTTTGGTGTGCTTTGTGGAAGTTGTGGTAAATCTTAATAAATTTAGAGTGTAATTTAATAAACTTATGGTATGCTTTAATGAAATCGTGGCGTGCTTAAATGAACTTGTCTTATGCTTTATGAGGTTTCTGGTCTAGTGAACTTGTGGTATGTTTTTAGAGTGTGATTTAATAAACTTGTGGTTCGCCCCAGCCACACTTTTCTACCCAACTTTATAGTACTCGTAATTGGTTTAATCGTTAGGTTTCGAAAATAACTGGGGTTAAGAAATTGTATTTTTATTCGGGTTAAAGACACATTTGGTCACTGAGATTACTAAATTGGGACATGTTTAGTCACTAGAAAAAGTTAATATCAAATTTGGTCACTATAATTACTAAAACAGGACACATTTAGTCACTCGCCGTTAGTTTTCGTCCAACTCCGTTAAAAGAGTATGTTATGTGCTGACGTGGCTAACGTGAGTGCCTAGTCAGCGTCGTTTTGGGCCGGAAATGGTCAAATCCGACCCGCCACGTCACTAAACCCGCCACATAATAAACCCAATCCATTAACCTAACCCAACCCAGAAATAAACCCTAACCCACTTAACCAGACCATAGCCTACTTAAAAAAACAAAACTGATCACTTTCCATTTGCAGACCCGAAAACCCTTCTCCTTCCTCGAGAGATCTTCCCTTCGCCATTTTCAATCAAACTAATCTAAGACCAGAGAGCAGGGAGAGATTGTTTAAACCACCCGCCTCGTCTTTCCTCTTACCCTTATTATTCTCCTTAGAAGACTTAAGGGGAGCACCAGCAGGTGTAGGGGATTCCAAATTGACAGAGTCTGGGGAGTGAGATGGAGGGAAGCTAGGGAAGCTAGAAGGGAGGAAGAAGTTGGGGGTTTGGTGGGGGGCATAACGGTCATTGTAAGAGGGCGGAGGAAAGGGTTTGTGTTGCTGTTGCTGCTGAGGCGACAGTGGGTAGACGGAAGAGAGCAAGAAATTGGGGGTTTGGTGCGTCGGAGGGCAGCCAGAATAGAGGAGAAAATTGGGAGCGGGTTGGTGAGGGGCATAACGGTCTTTGTAAGACGGCGGCGGAGGAGGAAAGGGTTGCTGCTGGTGCGGCGGCGGTGGGTGAGGTTGCTGGAAGAGGAGTTGTTGGAGCTAGGATCGGATGAAGTCGAGCTTGGGGGAGAGGTCGGCGCCGAGTTTGGACTGGAGGTGGTGGATGACGACAGTCATGGAGGTGAGAGGGCCGGTGGCGGAGGATTGGGACTGGGAAGTGGTATAGTCGTGCAGGAGGGAGTGGAGAGCTTGGAATATCTCTCGCTCCGACATGTTTTTTAAGTGGGATCTGGTTTGGTTAGGTGGGTTAGCGTTTATTTATGAGTCGGGTCGGGTTGGGTTTGTTACGTGGCGGGTTTAGTGTCATGGCGGGTCGGGCTTGACCATTTCCTGCCCAAAACGGCGCTGACTAGGCGCTCACGTTAGCCACGTCAGCACATAACAGACTCTTTTAACGGAGTTGGACGGCAACTAACGGCGAGTGACTAAATGTGTCCTGTTTTAGTAATTATAGTGACCAAATTTGATATTAACTTTTTCTAGTGACTAAACATGTCCCAATTTAGTAATCTCAGTGACCAAATGTGTCTTTAACCCGAATAAAAATACTATTTCTTAACCCCAGTTATTTTCGAAACCTAACGATTAAACCAATTACGGGTACTATAAAGTTGGGTAGAAAAGTGTGGCTGGGGCGAACCATAAGTTTATTAAATCACACTCTAAAAACATACCACAAGTTCACTAGACTAGAAACCTCATAAAGCATAAGACAAGTTCATTTAAGCACGCCACGATTTCATTAAAGCATACCACAAGTTTATTAAATCACACTCTAAATTTATTAAGATTTACCACAACTTCCACAAAGCACACCAAAAAACGCGTAAAGCATACCACAAGTTTCTTAAAGCAGATCTAAAACCTCATAAAACATACCAGAAAGGCAGAAACCTCATAAAACATATCACAAGTTTATTAAAGCACACCACAAGTTTTTTAAAGCATATCAGAAACCTCATAATTAAACTTGGACTGATGTGTGGAAGCATATCTTCATGTGTGGAAGGATCAGTCTGAGAATGAACATCATGATTCATGAAGATGCTTCCACAAGTTTCTTAAAGCATACTAGAAATCTCGTAAAACTTACAGGACACATAGTGTATCGTTCCCTTTATAAATCCACATTAATTGTAAACAACCTCTTAAAATGAAAAATAAAAATTTATTAATATATAATGTTTCTATTAACCGGAACTTGTGGCAGGGGAGAACCCAAAAGGTTTTAGTGGTGTCCCGAGACACCTATAAAATTTAAAAAACGATTATCCGATCACCGATAAAAATTTGTGTATGGGTAAATTTAATACATTGTGGCACACCTAAAATTTGAAAAAAATGATTGTTCAATCCGCAATAAAGTTTTCCTTAAGGGTAAAAAAATACATATAAACAATAATATGTGTGATTTTAATTTGGGACACTACTAACTAGTATTAGTAAGCATGTATTTCATTAGACTATAAATGATCATTTGTTGATGTATTTTAAACAAAATCTAAGAATAAAAATAATATTTCTTATCACCGGTTATTTTCAAAACCTAACAATTAAACTAATTACGGTACTATAAAGTTGGGTAGAAAAGTGTGGCTCTCATCTCTTGTTGACAGTTGATGAGTCAATGTATTATTCCTAAACCACCATCAAACGTCCCCCATCCCTCCACTTGTCAATAAGACAAACGATCACGGCAGTACATCCTACAACCCTACGCACTAAAATCCCCCTCCTCCTCGACCCAAAAACCCTCCCCAACTATATTAAATTATTATTATTGAGTGCCTCCACACCACCACCAATCTCTCTCTTCCTTTCCATATCTTCCCTTCCTTACCACAACATAAATATTAAATACAAACCCACAACCGTTCCCACAGAACCTGCACAATACCACCAAAAAAAAAACACTCCAATTAATTCCATAATCTGGAGAGAGAGAGAGAGGCAGAAAGAAAGGAAGAAAGAAAGAAAGAAAGCCAAGCAAGGAAACTGGTGCAGGGTGACTAAGTGTAGGATCGTGGCCCAGGGTGTGGAAAAATGACGAGCTGCGACTTGAACCTGAGAGCAACCGAGCTCTGCCTCGGCCTCCCAGGCGCCGGCACGAAGCTGCCGTCCCCCGAAGCAGCAGAGACGCCGACCAAGGCGAGCGGGAAGAGAGGCTTCTCCGAGACCGTGGATCTCAAGCTCAACCTCCATGATGACAACCACGCCACCACCGCCCCAAATGACTCATCCGCAAAATCCGCTGCTGGAGTCATCAAGGACCCCGCCAAGCCCCCAGCCAAGTACGCCCCGCCTTGTATTTTTTTTCTTCTTATAATAGTTAATTAGTCAGGTGCTACTTAAAGAATGAGAACGTTACGAAATACGGGCTGTATTGCATTGCATGCTGCAGGGCGCAAGTGGTGGGTTGGCCGCCTGTGAGGTCGTACAGGAGGAACGTGATGGCTACTACCACGCAGAAGAGCAGCAGCGGCGAGGAAGATGGGAAGAAGACGACTGCAGCGGCGGCGGCGGCGTTCGTTAAGGTGTGCATGGACGGAGCGCCGTACCTTCGAAAGGTGGACCTGAAGATGTACAGCAGCTACCAGCAGCTCTCCGACGCTCTCGCCAAGATGTTCTCCTCCTTCACCATGGGTATTAATTATTTTATTTTATACTATACCGTGTCGAGAGGGCGTGGTAGATTTATTTACTGATGATAAAATGTTGATTATTGGATAATTAATGATAGGTAATTACGGAGGTGAAGGGATGATCGACTTCATGAACGAGAGGAAGGTGATGGATGTGGTGAACAGCTCAGAGTATGTGCCCAGCTACGAGGACAAGGACGGCGACTGGATGCTTGTGGGCGATGTTCCCTGGGAGTATGTTCCTAATTCGGAATTACCCCACCCATCTCTCTAATCTAATCACTCATTAATTCATATTATTTTCATGCTCGAATTATTCTCCATAATAATTATTAAACCACCTCATATATGTGTATGATTAACTCTAATAATAGTTATTAATGGTCAGAGAATAATAATTGTACTCTTGCCAACTTGTGACCTCATCATCACCGTCATTATTTAAGTAATACCTTGCGACATATAATCTTCCTCAGCTGGCACATAAAGATTTTTTTGCTTGATACTAATATTATATTAAATTATATATACTTTTAACTTTGGAGTTAATTAATTCGATTCGATTGACGTTCCGCAGGATGTTTGTTGATTCGTGCAAGCGTCTTCGTATCATGAAGGGATCAGAAGCAATTGGACTCGGTATAGCTCCACCCTCATCAATTAAAATCGTAGGTAGTTCGAGAATGAGTTATAACCGATGATCATATGCGATCATTAATTTGGTGAAATGTTGCAGCACCGAGAGCAATGGAGAAGTGCAAGAGCAGAGCTTGATGATTGGATGTGTGTCTTGTTGAAGTAGTTGGGTGTATCGATCTCTTCTATATTTTTACCGCCACCTCTCGTTCAATTAATTTTTCCACCTTTGGGAGTATTTGTGTCGCTCTCTTTTTATTTTTACCGTTTTGTAACTTTGGTTTTTGTTGGAGTAAAATGGTATATAGATAAAAATGTGAAGGAATTGGAGATGTAGACAATTTGTGATAGACAAGAAGAAGCAAACACAATGAGCTTAAACCAACCCCCCACCACGACTGCACTACTGTCTGTCTGCCTGCACTCTTGTTTATTGCTAATGGCTTTACCTCCCCCATTTTTATGTGTTCATTGCAATGTGTTCTTCTTTTGAAAGAAAAAAGTTATGTTTGTTGTTGGTGAGTGAGTGTTCTACATTATGAAATTTTAATATTTTTTTTCTTTGTGTACTTTTTCATTACATTTATTCAATTTAGTGCACCATTGTTATGATGTAGATGTGAGTTTTTTTTATACAAGTGCCATTGTTATCATGTTGTTGTATGCAATATTTTATTTTTGTGAGGGAGGAATTTATGAGGCAAGTGAGGTGAGGGAACAAAGCCATGTGCATGTTGATGGGGTAGTCTCTCACCATATGGAAGGAACATTATTGTACATGGAATACATGGAAAAACAATATAGAAAGTGGGCAAGTATTGATTAATTCATTTTAATATATTATGTACTATATCGGTTGACTATTATCATATAATAACATTATCGTAATTTTTTAGAAAAATTCTCGATATAGTTGTTAAACGATACTTTAAATGTCTGACTCGTTTAAACGATGAAGTTTTACACCAATTGAGGATGGTCAAGCTTCTTCTTTTTTTGGGATCCTAAAACAGATTTGAGGTCAATTAATTATTATTAGCAAACTTTGAATTAGTATTAAGTCCTTTGATATGTGTCTCTGCTTCTGTCTGTGGGCAGACACATGCACTCAATTTGAGCAATAAAAAGAGAGCTTCTTCTTGGATCTGAGAGAGATTTTGTGGCAGCTCATGTTCTATATATATATATATATATATATATATATATATATATATATATATATATATATATATATATATATATATATATATATATCTATCTCACCTAGCCAGCTACCGCCTACCTATACTATACACATGAGAAGGGGGAACACAAAATCATATTTTTTGGCAACTTGCCGCAACTTCTATATGCATATTAGTATATATAATACAGAAGTTTGGTTACTGTTCCTAAACCGTTTATATTTTGATACCTCAAATTTAATTAAATCACAATTTAGTTATTATAAGATACATTTTATATTTTGATACCCAAATTTAATTTTAAGGTGAAATCATTGAATAATTATGTTTTGGTATCTCATTTAGTACATTTATGTGGAAACTTCTACTAACTATCCCAAATTTAATTAAATCACAACTTAGTCACTATAATGTAAATTTTACATTTTGATATCCAAATTTTATTTTATTGTAAAATCATTGAACAATTATGTTTTGGCATCTCATTTAGTACATTTACGGGGCACTAAACAAACTTCTACTAACTACCTGTAACAAAATATGCAACATCTACATAAGAAAGTGTCAATAAATTGCTACGGTGAAAATGGTTAACTGTTGTATTGACGGTCAACTAAAAGAATCGGACAAAACCTTTCCATCATCTACTTCCTCTTCGTTTCATTTTTCACTCGCATTCCATAGCCCTTTCTTTATTTCTTTCTTTGCCTTCTTCGTCTAACCCTAACTAGGATACTATTTTTATGTATTCCAATCACAAGTATGTACGAGTCCATACACAACAGTCTAGAGAACTAATTATTGAACCATGAACCACTAACTTATTTTCAGCTCAATGTCGAGTCCAATTAAAAATAAATATATATGGTTATTACTTATTAGAAATTCGTCATTTTCCACTATGGGATTTGAAGGCATGAAATTTTAAGCGAGTTCCAGTTTGTATTCCTTTTGCTTCTCTCTAAAGTTTTTCTTTTTCACCCGAACTAGAATTTTCAACAATTATATACATTGAAAATTGAGCACCTAAATTTTTTGTCTATTACATTTTGGTACCTAAACTTTGAATTTCTACAAATAAGTCTAATTTTATACGTGTAATTAAAACACCCTCGAATAGATGGGTATCCATAGCCAACTCATACATATTTAGATTATGAAAATAAATATTCATATCCTACCCACACCCATCTACAAACTTTCAAGTTCCAACCCATTTTATGTCACCCATACTTTACCCATGATCAATAGGTCTACTTGGGTTTAGGTAGATATCATTTACTAGGCAAAATTTTCTAACAAAAATTAAATTGGATGTTGACCGCCGTATATCTCTTCTCAGTCAATTTACTAACAAAATTGCTAACAAAAATTGATTCTAGGCTAATAATAATACTAACAAAACACCATAAACGGACCACATAATACATGCACATAGGTTATCTCCGCCTGCGACAAGGCACGACATCGCCACCTAGTATAACTATACTTCATGTGTTTTAAGTGAGTTATGTTTAGTTAGATCTAAATTAAACCGAATTCGAGATATGATACTATAATGTAATGTAACTTTTAAAGATAAATCTCAGGTCTCAATTTAACCAAAATTAGAGGATCAGGTTAATAAAAAATAATAATAGACAATTTTGATTCATCGAAATGCAACAAAGACATCCAACAATCAGATCACTTAGGGTCAGTAACGAATCCACAACATAACTGAGAGACTCCTAAAATTTAGAGGAAAAATATTGATCCTTTGGTAGTAGTTTGAGTCTATGGGGAAAATATATGGTAGTTCCTATCATTTTGAACAAGTGACACTACTATTATGAGTGAACGTGTTTATCATTAGACTACAGTTTATTTAATGATAAATTCATACATAAGACAATATATATATATGGGGAGTTCTACCGGTACTCATGGTGAAATCCGGGGTACCGCATACCTTGAGTAAGAAAACGCTATCTAGAACTTGAATTGACTAATCTTTCGGACATGATACTATACTCTAACCCTTAAAGATCAACATCTAGGTCTCAATTCTCTAAATCTTATACCCCAAGATCAATATAATTAGAAACAATAATCGATGGTTATGATTCGTCCAAATATAGGCAAAAAAATCAATGCACCATCTTAGGGTTTATAGTTTATAATTTAGATAATTAGGACCTAGGGTTCACTCATTAAGGGTTAGGGTATAGTATCATGCTCAAAAATCCTGCTAATTCGAGGCCTAGATAGTGTTTTCATACTTAAGGTATGCGGTACCCTGGATTTCACCCGGGGTACCGTAGAAGGCACCATATATATATATATATATATATATATATGGCGAGTTCTACGGTACCATGGGTGAAATCCGGGGTACCGCATACCTTGAGTATGAAAACACTATCTAGACCTTGAATTGACCGATCTTTCGGACATGATACTATACTCTAACACTGAAAGATCAAAATCTAGGTGTTAACTCTCGCAATCTTATACTCCAAGATCAATTTAATTAGAAATAATAATCGACGGTTATGATTCATCCAAATATAGGCACAAAAAGGAATGCACCATCTTAGGGTTTATAGATTATGATTTAGATAATTATGACCTAGGGTTCACTCATTAAGGGTTAGGGTATAATATCAGACACAAAAATCCTGGTAATTCGAGGTCTAGATAGAGTTTCCATACTCGAGGTATGCGGTACCCCGGATTTCACCCGGGGTACCATAGAAGCCACCATATATATATATATATATATATATTATATGTGAAGTTTGGTTAATGTTGCCTAATTATTTTCATTTTGGTACTCAAATTTAATTAAATCACAACTTAGTCACTATAATGTACATTTTACATTTTGATACCCCAAATTTAATACAAATGTGAAGTTTGATTATAGTTGCCTAATTATTTACCCAAATTTAATTAAATCACAATTTAGTCACTATAATGTATATTTTACATTTTGATACCCCAAATTTAATTTTAATGTATAATAATTGAACAATTATGTTTTAGTATCTAAATTTTATGAGATTTTCGTACCTACGATTTTTTAAATTTACATATTGGTCATATGTTTTGATTTCACTTGAATCCATGAATTCAATCCACCATAACATAAAAGTATAAATTTATTTTGTACAATACAAGATGTTGTATCACTCAAACTGTATGAGAAGATTCGAACATTTTGTATTTGCTCATTACATGAATCATTAAATAAATGATAAAAGAAAGACTACTCTAAAATATTAAAAATCCAATTTATAAACTCAATTTGTACATTTACGTGTACTAAACAAACTTCTATTAACTACATGTAAGAAAATATGCGACATCTACATAAGCAAGTGTCAATAAATTGATACGGTGAAAATGGTTGATTGTTGTATTGACGTTCAACTAAAAGAATTGGTCGAAACCTTTCCATCATCTACTTCCTTTTCGTTTCATTTTTCACTCGCCTTCCATAACATTTTCTTTATTTCTTTCTTTGCCTTCTTCGTCTAACCCTAATTAGTATACTGTTTTTATGTATTCTAATCACAAGTATAAACGGGTCCATACACGACTCACCAACAGTCTAGAGAACTAATAATTAAACCATGAGCCACTAACTTTTTCAGCTCAATGTCCAGTCCAATAAAAAATAAATATATATGGTTATTACTTATTAGAAAGTCATTTTCTACTATGGGATTCGAGGGCGTGAAATTTTAAGCGAGTTATAGTTTGTATTCCTTTTGCTTCTCTCTATAGTTTTTCTTTTTCAACCGGACAATAATTTTCAACAATTATACATGGAATGTTTGGCTAGATATCTACATATATCAAATAAATAGTTTTCATTTTTCTATAAAAAAGTAAATAACTATCATCTTAATTTTTTGTTGTGTATTACATTTTGGTACCTAAACTTTTAAAGTTCTACAAATATGTTTAAATTTTGTATGTGTAATTAAAACACTCTTGAATAAATGAGTATCCATACCCAACTCATACACATTTAGATTATGGAAGTAAATATCAAAACCCTACCTAAACACATCTACAAACTTCCAAACTCATATATACGTCACCCATACCTTACCTATAATCAATGGGTCTACTTGAGTTTAGACTTTAGATAAATATCATTTACTAGCAAAAATTTTCTAAAAAAAATTAATTGGATGTTGACCGCCATATATCTTTTCTCAGTCAATATCATATGGTCAAGTCAATATTACTAACAAAATTGCCAACAAAAAAATAATTATAGACTAATAATACTAACAAACATTATAACGGGCCACATAATACATGTACATAGGCCATCTCCGCCCCGCGACAAGGCGCGACATCCCCACCTAGTTAGTATATATATGAAAACTAAATTGAACCATCTCACTAAAAAAAATTAGATATGTCAAATAGCGTCCTAAGAAAATTAATGAAGCTAAGAAAATTAATGATTGTGTAGTCGTATAAGAAGTTATACCGACAAAGTTAGTGATAGGGTATTTTGTGCTAAAAGTTTATATTCAATCGTTTTGTTCCTAAAGCTGCCAACCGTTTGAGGTTCAGCATTCGGTATTTCCTGTCCGATGAACCAGTATAATAGGGT